GTGCGTGCGTGCGTGCGTGCGTGCGTGCGTGCGTGCGTGCGTGCGTGTGTGTGTAAGAATATTTTGAATAAACGGTTTTTTAAGTGGTGAGGTATGCGCGGTGCAACTGGTAATAGGTACGCGGGAAATTTTAAGGCAACCCGGTGGGAAACGAGTTACATGAACGCATCTTCTAAGCAGTCTTATACGAGCTTGGTGACCCAGCAGTTAGCATTTCGAGAGCTAGATGAGGAGGACCTAAGGCATAGTTGCCGGTAGGACCAATTTGGGACCAGAACTTTTTGAAATGGTTTCTGGTCTGGTTGCTCTGGGTGGGAAACCATAGTTCTATTCATTGCTCAGGCACTCATTAAATACAGGGAATTCCTAGTTCGGGACCAATTAAAATCTATAGCTACTGTTCAATATCATGACTATTTCAGTGGATGCTAGTTAATAAGCTCTTATTTTCCAGGTGGTGGACACGATTCCTCTCCAGCTATCAGGATCCTCGTCGACGATACAAGAGGCGGTTCTCGAACCGCCAGTCAAGCCGAGCAGGTCCACAGCCCGTCATTTCGCCGAACCCCTCGATGATCTCAATCCACGCTTGCGACTCAAACTCTGCCTTCAACCTAACCAGGATATCTGCAGTAACTACACAGAGGCTGATAGTAAGTTTTTATGTAATTCGAAGTTTACCCACCTAATACTTTAAATATGTGTGCACTGTCCTTTGAGGCATGAATACGGAGCAAAGGATTAACTATGTTCAAATTAACATATAAATTAACTGCAGAAATGTAATCATAAAATACATTCTGTTATCCCTTTGTGCAGGTTCACGAGTACTGGTCGTAATAAAGCTCGATTTCCTGTGAAATAAATTGAAATATACGGAGTTGTCCGGCTGGAATCCCACTGTGACAGTAGACTGTTAGAAAGTTTGTGACGAGAACAGTTAATTTATACCTGACAAGCTTAAAACTTTTTACATATTAATGAGTTGGCCGAAAACTCTAAAGAAAAAAATAACTTTTTTCTCTTAAAATGTTATATTGTCTGTGGTAATTTTTAAAGTATTATTTTAGCGAGCATTTTAAGAATAGACGAGAAAGTTTAATGTTTATAATTTTTGAAAAACGCCCTGAACTGGTAAATCGCAAATGTGTCGTATTTCATTATGACAATACCAAATCACATACACGCAAAATAGGCGCCTCGACGTCGAGTTGCGGAAACTAGCCCGTTGCACCAATACCAGTACCAAATCACATATACACAAGAGCTATCAAAAGCTATTGCGTTTAGGTAGAGATGTGTTACCTCATCTACCGTATTCGCCCCACATAGCCCCCTATAGGTTTTCTTTTTTTTTTTTTATAATACCAAATGACGGAACGAGCAAGTCGTCCATAACAGTTGCAGTGCCACTCAGACCTTCAAATCGTTAGTTGACAAGTCTAGAAGACAAATTGCCTGTAATTTCACTAGCACCCATAAACCCTTCAAAACCGGAGCGCAATAATGGTCACATTACTGCTTCGCGGTAGAAATAAGTAAGGTGGCAGTACTTCCCTGCATGAACTTTTTCACAAGGAGCTCTACTGCTTCCAAAATTTGTATCGGTCTTTGCAAAATTCTATGTACAGGCACGACCTTAGTAACGAAAACACCATCAAACTACATTAAGGGTCGTATTCTAGAACTCTACTCAATGCTCAAGTCAGGATTTGAGTATAATTTAAGGCAAAGAAAATCATACTCAAGTCTGCTCAAGTCCTGACTTGAGCATTAAGTAGAGTTCCGGAATACGACTCTTAGAGATGTTCATTTGTTTGCTGTGCATTTATTTATTGAGTAATAAACGTAAATAAATGGACGACGGGTCTAATACAAAAACCACGAAAAAAATGTCCCAAGTTAACCTATTCGAAATTTAAATTGTAATGTCATCGCAGTATCGCGCTTTCAGTCGAACAAATGAAGACTAAAGTGGAGTTTGGCGCTCTGTATACGATTTTAGCGCCTTACAAGTGCGGACACTTTTTAGCGCGGACCCGACTTCCATATAATTGTAAGTCAATGGTAATAAAGGGACTTTTGTGAAAGGGGAATTCAAAATTTACTCGAAAGTTGGCAAAAGAACGACGTTTTGCTATCTACAAAGATCAACATGAAAAATATATATCTTTTGGCCTACCTTATGCATTGGTGAAAGATATATATAATATACGCGTATAAGACAATAAACATGATTGTTTTGCAACTCAATAATTTAACATTTCTGATCGTTTCTGACCCACGCAAAATGTTATAAATATTAATCCAGTTTTTTTAGAGGAAATCTATTTTAAGTATTTGCTCTAAGAGTATAAGATTAGTTCTCTACGTCGTCGCGTAAATATTAATGCCTATAGCTGAAGCTGGGTGCTGCAACTAATGTAATGAATTCTTTACAGTTGGTACCTCGTACACGAAGGACGCCGCTGCTTTGACGACGGCTACTTTGATCGCGATCGTGGTTTCCTGTCTTGTGTTCTTGTTGTTCCTGAGCCTTTTGTTCATCTTCTGTCGATGCAAACGGAACGAGAATACGAAGGAAACATCTAAAGATTACGAGATGGACTCTATGCGACCTCCAATATCACCACAGAATCAGGCACCACCACCTTATTATCCCAGTACAGGGATGGAGAATAAGGCCCTAGAGCACTCAATGGATCTAGCACTTGAAGACTCGAAGAATGCCGTGTATGCGACGCAAGGAGGCTATGGGTACCATGTTGCGCCACACGCGCAAGGCCATCCCGCACAAAACATGCCTAATTCAGAATGTAAGTTGCACATTAAACCTTATTATATCTACAAATTTCAATATTACTAAGTAGTACTACTACACGTCAAAGTACAACGCCTTTGAAAGAAATCATTCGTACTTTTTTCTTCTTTTATCGTCAATTTGAGATAAAAGCGTACGACGAAGCGGGTGACGAGGGTTTTACTTCAAATAATTGCAGAACGCTTTCGTTAAAAAGTAAAAAATTTACCAGAGTGTTTCATTTATTTTTCATTGCGCAATCAGGATTGCTGGTTACAGCGGATGTATCAGGTAATTACTGGTTATTAGACACCCTGCATGTCCTTGTTTTGTCGACCCGAAAGAAATGATATACTTGTGTGTACTAGGGTTGTTGCAAATATCAGCATCCGCATCTATGGATAATCTGCATTCATCGATGCTGATTTTCATTACGGAGGTTCGAGTCGTGATATGACATAAAAGGCACGCTGAAATAATTTACAAACCTTCCAGAAACAGACTGTAAGCCGAAAAAGCATCAAGCATGTCGTTTTTAGAATATAATTTGAATAAAATTTCAGAACGATTAAGCTTTGCAAAACGATTGATTGTTTTCATGAAAATTGATTCTTTTGTTAATAAATGTTAGGAAATCATTGAAATAATATTTACAGTAATATTTACACCATTTAACAATGTACATCCTTACTGGATGTACATTATATTGTTAAATGGTGGCGGTTTATTCAATACTTAAAATTAACATCCGTTAATGTGTAGAAAACCTACATCAGCAATAACACTGGTGTGTACCTAGTCATACAGCAATGAAACACCGGGCAACAATTTTGAATATGTGCATCTTCGGTTTCATCAGAAATTTTAAATTGTGTAAAATGCACTACTACTCACCCGCTTACGTCTTGCACGATGTTTGTCACATACAAGAATCGTGTTATGTAATCCTAAAAAAAATCGTTAAATACCCACACTTTTTTTTGAAGAACTACAAAATTGGCTTGCACACTGTCGAGTTAATTATTTGTGGAAACATTCTTGTTCCTTTACAATTAGATATTCATATTTACATCTTCATATTTGTTGTTCGCAGGGGTAAACATGGGATATATAGAAAACAGCTATACGAATAGTAACAACGGGGGAAGCGTCAACTCACAGGATTCGTTGTGGCAAATGAAAATGGCTGCGGCAAATAATGCAGCGGGCATACCGGCTCACCAGATCATGGATCGTCAGAGTAATTATGGTTACGACCCTATTACGCACGGCGGTTATGGTACCATAGACGACTACGCACCGTACCCGCATTTGGCACACGCCGGGCAGCCTCCCGCGTCTGCCGATTATAATATGCGCGGCAGCCAAAACCCCTCCAGGCAAGAATACTGCTCCGACCCCTACGCCTCCGTCCACAAGCCCAAGAAACGCATGGATCAACACATTGGTGAGTTTCTCGTTTCACATTCAATCACAATTTCGAAGTCTCGAGATCAATAGGAACGGGGTTTCAGAACTTTTTACCCTTATCTCTTTCCGACATCTCTAAATTAGTTGTAAAGTATGCATCTGCTTTTATGTTTTGTTCTTTCATTTTCTGTTGAGTCAATAGTCGACATTTTGACTCTGATAACATAGTCCAAAACTCCGCTACCCAGTAAATTGCATTTGGAGAAATTTTATTTTAGACAGTTGAGTTGTTCACGCGCAAAGTTGAAAGTGGCTTTTCACATCATAACTTAAAAAGTTCCCTCGGGAGCCACTGTAAATGAGCTGTATTCAAATACATTCAACGTTATTTGCAAATATTTGCTAAAGAGGAAATTTCGGTGCCTATTTAAATGTAGAGCGCCTGGAGATTTGATACCTTTTTGATATCGTTATTTATGAGAAGCTGCAAACAGACAGAGGTTATTTATTTGCACTAATTCATAACTTGAATTGCTGATGAATGACTATAATCTTACAATTGCGATATCGGGACTATTCAGCAGGATAATAAGAAAATTGATAGTCAATGGTTATTTGATTTCCTCTCACTGCCAAGTTTTTGTTTTAAGTAGCGTAATCTAGACCGGATAACGTTGATTAACGAGCTCTTTTTAATGCAGAATAATAAACATTTCCTTAGCTTCTTAAATATTCATAAATATAGACTGCCTCCGTGGCCGAACGGTTACCATGCCGGACTGCCACGCAGAGGTCCCAGGTTCGATTCCCGGGCCGGGAGAAATATTTATATGGCCTACATTTATTTCTCTCGTGAGTTTGGGTGTAATTTGTGGTTGTCTATGTGTGTGTCCATAGCACCCGCGACACAAGGTTTCCCTAGTGCGGGGCTATGTGTGTGTGCGTTATTATTATTGTTATTATTATTATTATTATGTTTATTATAAACTCTCGCCTCTCCCAAGGCCTACAAGACTAATTTTGAATTTTTAAATGGGAGAGGCGGTATTTCCCGGCTATGGCACAATCGGCGAACAATACGTGCCGTATCGAGCAGGACCGCCTTCTGCATTTGTGCTGGAAGCGACACGCCACAGAAATCCAACCGCCTCAAGCTGTTAGAAAGGCTGACTGGAATTAACCCATTTGCGGACAAAACAATTGGGATTATTTCAGTGGAGGCCACATTCCACATGTCGGTGATCTCGTGCGCCAGGTCGAGATACTTCCGGCGTTTCTCGGAGACCCTCGTCATGCGGGATGGTCACGTCCACAAGAAATACCCTCGACTGCGATCGGTCCAATATCACAATATCACAATTCAATATTTATTTTTATTATTATTATTATTATTACATATTTTACACTCCCGGACACATAATTCGAGCCACCTCGCATTTTCAGTATTGAATGCTCTAAACATAAACAATGTTTGATTGATCAAAAACTATTAAGCAATTTTGAAACCAGTACACTAAACGTCTTTTCCACGAATCCTTGTTGCAAATTTGGATTTGCAAAACCGGGGGAAAACTTCTTCTTCGACGATAACACTACTTTTGTATTCTAGCCCTTTAAGACAAAAATGCGAGGTGGCTCGAATTATGTGTACGGAAGTATATAACTAGAGCAGTTCATTTAATTTATGAAAATCGTAATGGTCATCAATCTGTGACAACTGAAAAATTGTATATTTTCATGCTTTTATCGGACGACAGTTTTGTTTTTGCATCAATTATTCATACACGATACACTTAAATTATTAAGGCCGACACGTTCGATGTGTTTCTGTTAGTGAACTTTTGGTCAAACCTACGCACTTACAATAATACAGTTTTAGTCAGTACTGACGATAATTACTTGTTGAAATATACATTTTGTTCTTTGTGAAACAAAAAAAGTGTACCCTTCGTTTTATATGCAATATTTTTTTTACAATTTGCTTTGCTTTAGTACCGTGTGATAATATTTATTATTTAATTTTATTCTAAACAAACAGACAATTAGATTGATTGTCTGACGTGTTATTTTCTCTGATGATCAATAAAGTATAAAGGAAAGTGTTTAAACCTACAAAAACATGACAAAGGTTTTTACAGTTTAGTAGAAATTAAACAAAAGGGAAAGAAAATATTGATTTTAAATAGGATTCTGTACAGGCGTGTTTCACGAGTGAATTTTGATAGAAATGTTATTTGTCCAGAATCACCATACCATGAAGTGAGCGGGCTTCCGGAGGCGTACGGAGGAGGCAGTGAGGAAGTGGGCGGGGAGGAGAAGCCTCCGCATCTTTCCCTGAGTTACGACGAATCTCTCGAGTCGGGTTATTCCACTCCTAACTCCCGCGCACGTCGTGTTATCAGAGAAATCATCGTGTAAGAAGAACATCGTAAGTCATACGGCGGCGCCGCAGTACTTTCCAAAGTAAGTTTTTTATATAGAAACGAATATTTGTCGAACATTTTAAATTTGACTGCTGAGAGAAGCGCTCGCATTAAAATTATTTTAATGCTACATATGATATGTACTTTACCGACAAAATTTTATCAAAAGTAATTATACACGCAGAACAGACAGAGGTTAGCCAAACAAAACATGAAACATTCTAAACGTCAAGCACTGAAACGTCGAATACGCGATAGTGTTTTTAATTGCTTTTTTCTAACTAAGCAGACGTGTAAAGGACAGTGAATTAAGACAATACATATTTGCTAAAGTCATTACACTTATTTAATAACATATAAACACCAGGGAAGTGTGAATCGACGGCCTTAGACCGACGGAGTAGCAGTACTGTCTCTTAACACTAAAAATTGCGGTTTCGTATCCAAATCCAGCATTTATTTTGTGTGAGAAAAATCACATACAGGCTAAAAATTACCAAATAAAATTATAGGGAATTTTAACTTTATAATAAATCGATCGAACAAATAGATGTCTATTTGCCAAGTTTTATTGAAACCAGTTATCGGAAAGTGCACAAAACGGGAGTCATCCCCTAGTTTGCCACCCTAAGAGGAGGAATATGTTCTTCAAATTTAAATGGGACCAAAATACTGAGGTACCCTCTTTCCAACAAAAAAAAGAATCATCAAAATCGGTTCACAAATCGTAACCGTAATCGCGAGTGATAACCGTAACGAGTAATCGCGTAACATACACAAAAAAAATACAATTGAATTGAGAACCTACTCTTTATTTGAAGTTGGTTAATAGCTATAAAAGAAAAAACTATAAATACATTTCTTTTTTGTTCAACAAAAATTGTTGGAATACTAGTTAATGGTTCTTGTTATGTATGACTGTTATAAAAAATAATTTACGAATAAGATCAAGAGTAGGGTGTATTTACCTACTGAACATTTTCCTTTTTGATTTATGGCAATTTGTGCGTTTGTTGTTCTGCTTATTAGACGATAAAGGCGTATTTGACGTTTTGCAAAAGCTTTCCGAGAAGCATCCTCATAATGCGTGTTTTGATATTTTGCGTTTATGACTGTCTGTGTATCCTTTAAATGTACATTTAATTTAATATACTTGAAAATGGATCCAATGAATGAAATTTTGTATCAGAAATGTAAATTGCGTTGTTATAATTGTGGATTCAGAAAATATTAATATTGTAAATTAAATATCTTTACTTTGGAAGCACCAACAATCATCAGATTCTTATGTGAATTACAAAGCGACATCTCGCTGCTTCGTGTCGAAGGAATTTGTAATCTATCGTTGTGAATTCCCAGTTTTTACGTTTCAAGAAACTTTACAAAGATTATAAAACTTTTTTACTCTGCGATTTAACGAGATATCATTTTAAGCAATTATGATACTTGAGTTTCAGATTTTAAATTATTACTTGGTACAGAACAAATATGTGTTTTATTCTTGTTTGTTTATTGAGTCGAATTTAAATGAATTTAAAAACACATCAATTTAAGATAAAAAGCGACCGACAATTCGCATTAAACAAATATTAAGGCATACGTTTAAAGCGGTCGTCTTTGTTTTTATAACTTCGGAAGATAGAAAATGTGTCAGAGCGGCGACAAAATCGTAATGAAAGATTACGCAAAGTTGTGGTTCCGGTAATGGTTAAAAGAAGGGATAGTGTTTTCTGATACCCAAAACATCCACAACTTTTCCGGAGTTGTGACAATGATAATGACCAAATATACAGGTGCATAACACGAGGTGCGAGGGTTGTAATGTTGTTGATGACTTTGTGATTGTTATGTCAATTGTGATAGTAGGATGTGCTTTGTGGACGGAAAATAGAAGAAACGCGCGGCACATGAAACCGGGGAAATGATGTGGTGCAAAAGAACCTTACCGCCGTAATTAAGTAAAATTTAAATTGGAAAAAGTAAAATTGGAAACAGCATTTATACGACTGAGAATAAAATTACAATTATGGATAAGTATAAGTAGCAAAACATAAGATGGTTCGATACATTTACTTGACCGTCTATTCGTCCTTTAAATCGTATTATTTGAAAGGAAATGGCATTCACCGATTATCCTCATCAATCACACCTCCGTGATGGGTAAATCCCTCGCATTCCGCGCTCCCTAACCCCATGAGTCGCGTGTTCAGTACGTACTTGTTGTACTCGTTAAATATTAATGAAAAGTTGATCACAATTCGAAAATGTTATTCATATAATATTAGCTATATTTTAAATGTCTCTATTAAGACATCACATTCTATGACAGGTAGTTGGAGGTTGTATTGAGGTATTCTTTTTTACCTCCCTTTATCTGTTAGTTGTAAGTTGTAAATCTATTATACCCCCTGTTGTTCTTCTCTTTTTGGAAGAAACATGACAGGAACTCTGACTAAATTCTTTAAGTGTTAAATGTTATTTAGTGTAAGTTGAGCTAGTTTTCTATGCGTTTGGTACACGCTAGTGAACTAGCTCGATGGCATCTCAATACAAATTAAATTGTAAAATAATTAATTATTATTTAGGATGTTACGAGGACCGCACTGAGCATACTTTTTATATTACAACATTCTTTCATCGATTTTCCACCGGTTGTACAATATCACGCACAATGAGCCGTTTACGGAACTTCATTTCCCTCTTAACGATTTTAATTTCGCTCTTAATGACATTAAGACGGAAATTAGTCTGTAATTAAAATTAATTATTCGATATGACGGATAGTCCAATTGCCTAATTTGGGAACAAATTAGGAATGCCATAATGGAACGGGGTTCCGTAAATGTAGCGTTTTGAATAGGAGTAACTATTGGAAAACACTCAGTGTGGGCTCTCTAATATTACAGAGCTTACGATTGAAATCGAAGGAGCATGTTACGTATATAGGAAGACTGCCGTAGATATAATTACATTAACAGTAACTTGTCGCCTTTTTGCTTATTTTTTAGTTGAATTAATCTGTATAATTCCTCTCAAACGCTGATGAATTTTAAACAATGAATGTCTGGTTTCGCTGCTCTCGACTTGGAGATATTATTTCAGTGTTTGATCCGGATTATTCCTTTCGGTAGAATCACTTTGTGTTTTTATTATATTTTACTATACATATACCACGATAATAAGAAAATAAGATCATAGCTCTTCTGATTTTATGTAACCGCATTTAAATCTTGGACAATTTACTCATGAGAATAATGAATCTTTAGGTTATGTTATAATATTTTTGATACCTACTTATAATGCTTGTTCGATATGCGAATTTAATATTTTACGAAATGAGGCCACTTCCAAGGCAAATGCCACCGATGTAAGGGCAGATCTCTTGTTAAGCTTTTGGGACTAGTTACTTTCAGTTAGACAAATGACTGATGAATTTTATATGAACATGTGTTTTATTACGTGTATTTGATTAATTTGAGTGCACTGAACGACGAACTTGGCACACAAGAAACTCTGTATATTATAATGGTACAATATGTCAATTATAATTATTTTATGTACGTTCAGTTATGTCACAATCACATTAATTTCGTCATTTATGAATACAGCTTCATAAAAGGCTTGCTAAGAAAGTTGTGTCGTAGAAAAAAATGATTATCATAAAGAAATTATTATACGGTACAAAAGAGGTTTTAGGTAGACTTAAGGACTTTAGGAGATGATGACCGTCGCATGACCTAGTTATGCACGTACAGCTCTACATAAGGTAGTATGAACACACAACGAATATTATGTAATGATATTTAGTACACACGTAAGTAAACTGCTTACAAAAAACGAGTGCCATCAGGACAAGAGCACCTTGCAAATGTATGAGTTTGTATGAAAAACGTTGAATGGAATAAATGTAAATAAAAATTGATATTATAGGAACTTACCGAAAAATGGAGTAAGATTACTATTTTCATTCATCCATAAACGTGATGAATGGTTATTGCGTTATATTTTATTCATCGCTTGTTTCATAATAAATGTAATTTATCTACGTTTTATAGGGGGAAATTAGTTTATCATGATCTCTCTCAAAATTTTGACTTATCGTTTTTACTTATTTCATACAGATGATAAAATGTTAATAACAATTACGCAATTTATGGAGAATAATACAAAATTTGTTGGCTGTTTTGTCGATAAATGAACAGAGTAGTCGTCTACTGTTGCATTTTAGGCAAAGCGAAAATTTCATGAGTTCTCGTGCATACATTTTCTTGTCATGACCTTATTCAATTAATGGCTCTAACGATGAACAATTGGAAAATCAGATTACCTGTTTAACAATACAAAGTTAACTTATATTACGCTTTTAAACCATTTAGTTCACCGGATAAACCTACTTAAATATTTTCAAGACTTGCTTGATCTTTAATTACTACTTACCTACATTAAATATTTCATATAATTAAGTGTTGCAACACGGAAAATATGAAAACATTATGTCGAGTTTCATACTGCAATATTACGAGTGCACAATATAGAATATCACTATATATGTAACTTGATAAAACAATGGAAATTCGTAGCTCAGTATCCTTTATAACCTGTATAGGTATTTGTATTTTTCTATATATGCACTGACATGTTTATGCTTTTACTTTTGTTTTAACTATTATACATGAAATGCCGAATGGATTTTAAGGTTAGATAAAAAATTTTTTTACAATCTTGACCTTAAGCTCATATGCACTCACTAAAGTTTATTCTTAGTACATTTTCCCAAAGCTTTGACTGGGGATGAAACAGTATTTACGCAACACTTACGTACTCATTATACGTCTGTTTATTCACGTACGAAACATTAAGTCTTGCATTATTCCGTACAATAAATATACTTGTTGTTATGAAATATTTACATAAGTATCCCCCTATTTATGTCGTTTGCGACATACTTAAATAACGCACATACATCCACACACGGCTACACTACACTATAACTAAAACTACTACACTTTATAAACGATTTGGTGTGAAAACTCCTACGTTACGCCATACATTAGTAAACAGCCCACGGAATCGTTTATATGACACCCATATATGTATGTGTGATTATTTGTTTCCACGGAACTCCACTCAACTATAGCGTGGCCAAAAAATTATTAAATGTTTCAGTTTTATGTTATTTGCATTGCATTAACTACTTCCGTGTTCTTTTTCTTGATTACTTTGTGAGAGATATTATGTATATATCTCTCGGTGATAAACACACACATAAATCCTGCGAAAATCCGTGCACCTCTTTTAAAAAACTATTTAAAGTGCCAAATTATAGAGCCATGGCGCTCTTAATCATACTCTATTATGCTCATTAATAATATTTCGGATTAAAAGTTGTCATATTTCAATCACACGATTTGAAGGTACACGTCAACAACTTTGATTTCCTTTAAATATTTTAATAAGCATGACAATTTCCCTCTCTACGCCTACTTCTGTTAGTGAATTTTCATACCACCTTCTAAATTACTTTTATTAGCTACGCTTAACTTGTCTTTTACATTCCTTTATTACCATTAGGGTAAAGCGGACTCTTGATAGTTCCTCTAAAAGATTCGTGCCTCTTTAAATCTTCTAGCTTTTCATTACGTAGCATTATGAAATAAGAAATGGGCCCACCTTTATTATGTAATTGAATTGAGTATTTTTCAATAAAATCCAACGTAGGCTAAGTTTAAACGACTTTGGAAATATGAAACGTATGGGATATTATTATGGG